TCGGATTGAATGATGAATGAGACAAAAATCTTGCTTAATAATGAATTGTTTATTTGCATATTTTTTATATGCACTCTCTCTTCGATTAATAGTGGAATGAGTAGAATAATGACTCAGAACGAACTTCTTTTTGCTTTTGGAATTTTCCTTCGTTCGTTCTATTTGTACTCAAATAACAATCAAAAAAATAATAGTATTCAAAAAAACAAAAGCATAATCCATTCGTTTCATTCACATTTAAATGATTACAAATTTGCTCTAGTGCAAAAACATCATAGTAGATAAAGAATGTTTCGAACAAATATGACGTTTGTCTTATTTTCACTAGCAGAGTTTATAGAAGCTGCAAATTGATTTATAATTCATAATTATAACTGAGTTTGTCACCAATACTACCGTTGTCTTACTGTATTTACCACTGAAGGATAATTTTGTTTTTTAAATTGGCATAGTCCGCTGTAATTATCAATAAGGATTTCATTAAATGAACAGATGATAATTAGGGTAATGAGCATTATCGGAAAGAAATAAAATCAAAACTATTCAAGACAAAAGAATGCTCTCCGCCATTTATGTTGTTTGAGACTAAGTTTTTGTGTAGGTTTCCTTTGAGGTTTGCATATTAAGATACTTTTTATTGAAACTGAATTTTTATTACAAATAGGATCATTTTTAAACATGAGTTTGAGGAAGAAAAGAAAAGAAAAGAAAAGCATGTGTAGAATATGATTAAAATTAATTTCATGCGTTACAAGAATTATACTATGAACGATGATGGAATTCCATTGAATGTTAATATCAGTTGTTTATCATGGAGACGGACTTGTTCTATTAATTTTTGTAGCTCTCCTAGACGAACTTCTTTTCATTTGCGCAGGAGATACCTTAGAATCTTGATCCAAGAAAGTCATGCGCTATGGACAAATCTTGAGGCAAGATTTGACACCTTTTGGTGAGCTCAAGCTCTTGAACTTCTTGTTCTATCGCTTGATATTCTTGCTCATGCGCTTGAACTCTTACTCAGGCGTGTCTGTTACTAGCCCTAAGCGAACTATTTTTTTCATGCTCTTGATCTGTGTGGACCTCAAGATTTGTTCATAATGCATGACTTTCTTGCTCAAGACAAGCGCTTGAGTGTTTGCATGAGTTACAAGAAACTCATGTGCTCAACTCCAGAAGATGCAACTATGAATTTTTATTAAAATTTGAGTTATTTTGCACGTAAAATTGGAAAA